GGAAATACCAAAAATACATAAGTTTGGTCACACCATGTAGTCCCAGATAACTCAAAGTCTTTGTCTCTTCTTTTTTATTCATTTTTCCTTATTTTGTCAGACTGGATATTTCAAAAGACCTGTCTTCAAGTTCTTAGATTCTTTTTTTTTTTTTTCCTATTTTCCTAATTTTAGAGATAGGGTTTCAGTATGTTGCCCAGATTGGCCTTGAACTCTGGCCTCAAGGAATCCACCTACTTTGGCCTCCCAAAATGCCAGGATTACAGGCATGAGCCACCTCATCCAGCCATGTTCTGAGGTTCTTTCTTCTGCTTGGTCTAGTCTACTATTGAAGCTTTTGAATATATTCTGTATTCCCTTTATTGAATTTTTTTAGTTCAAGAGTTTTTGCTTGTTTTTTTCCTTATAGTATCTCTCTCCTTAGTAAATTTCTCATTCATTTCCTGGACTGATTTTCCAATTCTTTGTATTGATTTTCAGATTTCTCCTGCATCTTGTAGGGCTTTATAAAATCAATATTTTGAAATCTTTATCTGGCATATTGAGGGATTCTTTTTGATTGGTATCTGTTGCTGGAGAATATTGTGATCCTTTGGTGATGTCATGATTTTCTCCTTTTTCATGTTTCCTGTGTCCTTTCACTGATATCTGCAAATCTTGTGTAGTAGTAGCTTGTTCAAGTTTTTTTTAATTGTTTTTGTAGGAGAAAATAATTTTCCTGAAAAATGTGTATATGTTGTTAGTTGAGTAGGATACTTTGGCTTTCATTCTGGGTGCCTATGGTAGTGTGATCTTAGTATGACTTCATAGGCAGTACCCAGGGTCACTGGTATCTTTGATTTCCTTGGTAGCTTAGAGTACAGTTATTACTTGAGGTTGTGGAAAAATTTAGCTGGGTATTGGATGCCAACTGAGCCCATCTTTGGGCCCTGGTGGTGGCAGCAGCTTGGAGAGTGTGCCTGAGCCCCAGAGCAGCCTACACTGGCTTTGGTATTAGTGAGTCCTGGGAGGCTGATTCTTGAGCTTCCTAGTGGCTTGGTGAGAGGGTAGTCATGGGAGTTGGGCGACAGGGATGTGGGCAAGTACTCAGACCCCTGGGAAGCACACCCTGGTGAGATATGGTTGACGGCAGTAGTGGTGGTGGAGCAATCCACTAGGACCCAGGCAGTCCATGTTGGTGTTTCTGGTAGATGCAATGGGTTGGATGGGCTACTCCCCAGTCCCACAGCATCCTGTAGCAGGTGTGGTGGTATTGTCCTAAGTGTGCTTAGGAAAGCTTGTTCTCCCCTGTCCCTCCCCCATCTGGGTGGCATCACCTCACACTTGGCAAAAACGGGGACACAGCCCAACATTAAACTCTTGCAATTGTGCAAGCTGTGGGCTTGTGACCAGAGAGGGTAGGCAGCACCAGAGCTTCCTATGTCTTCTCTGTTGAATCCCTTCTCTTCTCTGAAGAATCCGAGCAATCTTTCCTAGATAATCTGTTTAAAATGGAGTTCCTCTCCATGAAGAAGGCCACGCTACCTGCATCTGGTCAGCCATCTTGATCACCTTTCTACATTTAAAGAGACACAGCATGTTAAAAAGAAAATTTAGTTCCCTTAGGTATTGTTATTTACCTAGCCCTCCCAGTCAAGAAATGGTCTGCATTTTAAAGGATTTTAATGTTTTTTTTCACTCCCCAGTGATTTCAGAGAATTGGGTTGTTAAAAATGTTTTCTTTAGAGTTAACAGTTTTTATTCATGGGATGCTTGATCCAATAGAAGTTACTTAGAAGTTACTTAACCATTACCAGAAGAAACTCTTCATCAGTGCACTTGGCAGCTGACATCTTTGTCCTCTTGAAAAAAAAAAAAAAAAAGTTGTTCAGGCATGGTGGCTTATCCCTGTAATCCCAGCCCCAACACTTTGGGTGACTGAGGCGGGCAGATCACCTGAGGTCAGGCGTTCAAGACCAGCCTGGCCAACATGGCGAAACACCATCTCTACAAAAGTACAAAAATTAGCCGGGCATGATGGTGGGTGCCTGTAATTCCAGCTACTCAGTAGGCTGAGGCACGAGAATTGCTTGAACCCAGGAAGTGGTGTTTGCAGTGGGCCGAGATCGTGCCATTGCACTCAGCCTGGGCGACAGAGCAAGACTCCATCTAAAAAAAAAAAAAAAAAAAGCTGTTCATTCCTGTCATCTATCCAACTTCTTCCCCATCTCTGGACTTCTAAGTCTTGCCATTTTCCTGGTAGGGAGGAACTTCATGACAATGGATGTGAGCTGTCCAAATACTCAGAAAAAAAGAATCTTGACTTTCTTCTCTTCTTTGACCTTCTTCACTCTATTTCAGCCAACATTCCCACAGCCACCCCCAATCCTTGTCATCACTCTGAAATGACATTTCACTCTGTGACCACAACCACTACTACCCAACTCCCCCACTACTTCATTGCCAATGGCGTGAGGGGTACACTGGCCAATGAGGTCTTTGGTTAAGGTTCCAAAGAGTGCAAACACTATAGAAGGTCAAGTCTCCCTCCTATTAAAATACTTTTTTTCTAACATTTTGAAACCTTTTGTTACATGTTTACATGAAAGTATTTGAAGAAACAGAAGAGATTACAAGCAGTTTTTATAGCGTTTCATAAAGAAAAACAGGTGGAGCCTGGCAGTCCAAAGTGGTGATTAACAGCATGAAATTTACATTCACAGCCAGGCGTGGTAGCTCACACCTGTAATCTCAGCACTTTGGGAGGCCGAGGTGGGTGGATCACCTGAGGTCAGGAGTTTGAGACCAGCCTGACAAACATGGTGAAACCCCGTCTCTACTAAAAATACAAAAATTAGCTGGATGTAGTGGCTATAATCTCAGTTACTCGGGAGGCTGAGGCTGCAGAATCACTTGAACCCAGGAGGCAGAGGTTGCAGTGAGCTGAGATTGCGCCATTGCACTGCAGCCTGACCAATGAGAGCAAAAGAACAAAATTGCATCTCAACAAGAAAAAAAGAAAGAACAAAAGGAAAGAAAGAAGAATGAATGAAAGAAAGAAAAGAAAAGAAAGGGAGAGAGAGAGAGAGAAAAAAGAAAGAAAAAAGAAAGAGAAAGAAAGAGAGAAAGAAAGAACGAAATTTACAGTCATACAAAACCATACTAAGACTCTATCCTCATTAGCTGTGAAATGCAGAACCAAGTCACTTACGACCGACTTTGGGGGCCTTACCTAACTCATTTGTAAAATGGAGATTATAAATCCAACCTCACAGTCTGGCGATGAGGAGTTTAATTAAGATTATGCTCATAAAATCTTCCCACAGTTCTGGGGTTTTTTTCAAGCAGACACATGGAGCTGGGCTAGGACTGTTTTAATCCAAACACAGATGAGCACAGGAAAATATCAGATGTTCACATGTATGCAACATGGCCCACAAGCCTGCATACAGACACCTGAATGCACACATGAAAACATCCACATACTTATATGTAGTTACCCAGTTGTGAATGCGTACACATGAATATGCAACATACATCTTGTTTTACACAGAAATGCACATTGTAGACACCCCTAAATCATGTGTACACACATGCTGTACGCAGAGACAGACAAAAAGATTGGCAAGCATTGAGAAACAGTGGCACACCCCGTCAGGCACACACACACATGTGCATGTGTAGACATAAGTTGGAATGGATACCCATTATCAAGCACAAACATACACGCCACAAAGCCCGGCGCACACACAAATTCATGTATCAACATGACATACTGAAACATACGTGCACATAGACACTACAAGCATGCACCCAGAATGACACACAGACAGTTGTATAAATTAGGATAAACATGGCAGAGGCATCCAGGAGAATCCACTGGACAAAATGACAAAGATGCAGGAGCACTCAGGGTGATTGAGGGGAACACTGACTTGCAGGGAAGGAGAAAGAGAAAGAAAGAAAGACGGGATCCAAGACAAGTGTAGACAGACAGGTGGGCAAAGTCCTGTGCAGGGCTCCAGGGCCAACCAGAATAACCTGAGAGTCTAATGCTGGCTTGTCCTTCTGCAGACACTGCCGAACTCAGCACCACGCTCCAGGAGGCCATGAAGGATTAATTTCCTATTCACAGCTCCATGGGGTAAATCTTGGCTGTGCTGAGGAAGACATGGGGAAAGAGGTTCCCAAAAACTCTGTCCCTTTCCTCCTTCCCAAAGGAAAAGATTTGGGAGCTTTAGACTAGAGAATGTAAAAGCAAGGAAGGTGCTTAGGGAACATCTCATCCATCCATTTCATCCTACAGATTAAAGAGAACAACTACTATTCGTTGAGCACTTACTGCCATGTACCTCATCTGCATTAACACATATACTTCTCCCCTAAATAGCCAAAGAGGTAGGAGCTGTTCTTGGCTCCATAAGCCTCACAGAGATAAAGTCAGCTGTTCAAAGTCACGCAACAAAGAAGGGATAAGGTTAGGATTCCAATCCAGACCTTAATCATTGTACCGTCCATCCAGAAAGGGAAACTGAGGCCCAGCAAAGAAAAGGGATCTTCCTGGGTTCGCCACTAACTCAGTCTGAAAGCCTGTACCCGAGACACTGCCCACTGGAACAAGTCCCTCCCACATGATTTCAGACACCATTCTCTCACTCCACGCTCCAGGGTAATCAACAAGTCCAACATCGATTGACCTCTATGTGCACAAATACTGGAGTTCTCCCAGCCTGTCTCTCCCCACCCCTCCGTGGCCAGGTCACGGCAGCCTGCTGACCACTCAGTGCCCTTCCCTGTGCCAACCTCACTGAGAAACCAACTCCCCAGATTTCTATCTCCCACCTTTTAAAGAAATAAGGAAAAGGAGGGGCCAGGCCCAAGTGCAGGCTGGTGACCAGGATTAGAGGGATTGATGTTGGCCCAGCTGGTGCTAATCCTCCTTCTCACCTCTTCCCCTCCAAAATCAACAAACAACTTTCATCTCTCCACTTTGTTCTCTGAACTTTGCTCCCTCCACACAGGTCTCAGAGCTCAGCATCCTAGAACACTTGGAACAAGATGTCAGTCCTGGGGGTGCCAACCTCACCCACCTCCCCTTGTCCAAAGTTGGTGACCCTGAGGACAGGTGCAACCCTGGAATCTCCAAACATCAGAGCCTGTCCTGTGGCCATCTGGAGCCCCTCTCAGGGTCTGGCTGAGGCTCATTTCAGGCCCACATAGGACCAGTCTCAGCACCTGCCTCATGCTCACGTCAGAGCCCAATGGAACCAACCTCAGACCCTATATGGTGCCACTCTTATGCCCTCTAGAAGCAGGGCATTCATATGCCCTCAATGATACCTGAGACAACACACAGAGCCGTCTTGGAACCAAACATGACTTTAATATTCTTCTGCTGTCAAGTTCAGTGCCAACTTCTTTCCCATCCTCGCGTACACCTGGGGGCAGTCCCAAAGCCAGCACAATGCCTCCCCTCCCTGGTCGTACCTGAGGCTGATATCAGAACCCGCCAGTGTCATCCCTGTGTCCACTGCTGATACCAATCTCGGCACTCACCTCCTGCTAAGCCTGCCCCGCACTTGACTCCCAGGGTGATCTAGGCCAGTCACTGCAGGTGGACGAGGAGAGAGTTCACATCCCAGCTCCCTCACTTACTCCCTGTGTGACGTCACTCAAGAGGATTTATGGAGTCTAGATCTGCTCATCTTCAAAATGAGGATGATGATGAACCAACCTCATTGTTACAAAGATTCAACCAGGTCATACACACCTAGACTTAATCTTCCCATATACGACCGTGCTCACCAAAGGGTAACTGTCCTGTTTACTAAGGAAGAATTTCTCTGAGGGAAGGACAGGAGGCTACTCATCCCTTCTCCACTCCCACCCACCCCAGGCTCTGCCTCTGTGCCTAACACTGGAGTTTACCCCAATCTCTTCTGCAGTTGTTCCCTCTGCCTGCTAATAGTAGTAGCCCCTGACAAAGCAGGCATCACCCTTAAAGGAGACTTAACTCACCCTCAAATATGATCTTCTCTTCCTAAATACACCCTTTCCACCGGCAGGAAAACCAAATCCACAAAGTGGAACTAACGACGCAGAGCAGGAGAGATGGGAGTTCAGGGCCACTCACGCATGTCCCCTGCCCACGGTCTGTTTTCTGTCCTCTGTAGACCCTTATATAAAATGAGAAACATAAATAACAATAATAATATTAATAGGGATGATACAATCAATCTAGTGGATCTCCCTAAGGATCCGGGTTGGAAACCAGTGGAGGTCTTTGTAAATTACAACCCTTGGGACACTTGAGATTTTTCCACCATTTGGGGGTTGTTATTACTATTTCTCCAGACCTGGCCAATCCCTCTGCCAACTGATAACTCGAGGCACTCTCCTCCAGGTGTGGGGAAAGTTCCCCTGAAATATGGCTGTGGTCCTACACCCCTTTCCCAACCAGAGATGTGCAGTGGAGGTTCTATGGCACCCATCCTGGCCTCACTCTGAGGTTCCAATGAGGATTCTGGGCATCAAGAGACAGCTCTGGGCCACAACAAAATCAAGTCAGTACCCGGGCCCAGTGGTGAGCTGTGGGCTTTCTGGGAAGAGCTGCTGGGCTTGCTACATACTCCTCCTGCCAGTAACTCCACACCCACACCCTGGTCTTCGTAGACCAAAGACTCTCAAGTCCATATGCCTGGAATCCCCCCTCCTGAGACCCTTAACACTGCATCTTCCTCACCAGAAGACCCCCAAATGCACAGCCACACTTCTGTGTCACCTCAATGAAACACAGACCTTTGGGTTGCTCTCCCCAGGAACCCCCACATCCACAACTTTGAGGTGCATTCTCAGTCTCAGACCCAAAATCCAAAGTCCAGGTGCTCCCCTGTGCAAATATTCCAAACTCCTCCGTTCTACAGTTTATCTGTTGCCCCCTCCTTAATCCACAGCCCTGGGGCACCCCTCCTGAAGTACCACAGATTTATTCTGGAGTTCCCCTCCCTGTTCAGGTTACCCAGGGTCCCCCTCCTCCTCCCGTGCTGACTGTGTCCCAAGCTAGGAGGGATTCATGGTGGGGGGTGTAGTTAGGAGGTGAAATGAGGTGATTATATAATCAACCAAAGTCCGTCCCTCTTTTTCAGGCAGTATAAAGGCAAACCACCCCAGCCGTCACCATCTATCATCCCACTGCCACCATGCTGGCCTCAGGGCTGCTTCTGGTGGCCTTGCTGGCCTGTCTGACTGTGATGGTCTTGATGTCTGTCTGGCAGCAGAGGAAGAGCAGGGGGAAGCTGCCTCCTGGACCCACCCCATTGCCCTTCATTGGAAACTACCTGCAGCTGAACACAGAGCAGATGTACACCTCCCTCATGAAGGTGTCCCAAGGCAGGGAGATGGGTGGCACGGGGTGGGGGCTGCCCAGCTGGCTGGGGCTTTGTGGCAGGGGATTGACCAGTGTGGACTGGAGTCTTACAAAAGGGAGTTTTGGAGGATCAGCATCAGGGTCCTAGCCAGGAAAGACAGGATCTTGGGATGTCCAGCTCCCTGAGAACCTAGGGACAACGGATCCCAGGAGTTGACATCTCGGTGCTGGGCCCATTCAGAGTGGGGGCTGCTCCCTCTAACCACTCCCACCCGCCTCCATCAGATCAGTGAGCGCTATGGCCCGGTGTTCACCATTCACCTGGGGCCCCGGCAGATCGTGGTGCTGTGCGGACATGATGCCGTCAAGGAGGCTCTGGTGGACCAGGCTGAGGAGTTCAGCGGGCGAGGCGAGCAGGCCACCTTCGACTGGCTCTTCAAAGGCTACGGTGAGGGGGTGCCCAAGATGGGGAAAGTGGCCAGGGGGACGGGATGCTTTTGGTGTCCCCAGCCTTCTCCTTGCCTCTCCTGTCCACTGGAGGCTATGACAGAGCCCCCTGTCTGGTCTTACCTCCCCATCTCCCTTCATTGTGGCCTCTCCCTGTGTATCCCTCAGCTGTCTCCAGTGTCCCTGTCCTGATTCCTCCCTGCACCTCTCTGCCCCTCGTTTTCTCTCCTCATTCCGCCTCACTGGAGTCTCCTCTTTCCTCTCTCTCCATCTCTGAGGACATCCCGGGTTTCTGTTTTCCAGCCCTGGTCCTCTGTCTTCATTTGTCTTTTTGTCACTCTCAGCTTCTGTGCTTCTCGGTGTTTCTCCTCTCTCCGCTTCCCTCTCCCACTCCTTCCTCTGGCTTAGGATTTCATGGTATTCCGACTTCCACATCTCCAGCCTCCATCTCTGAGTAACAGTTGGTCCTCCTTCTCAGTCCTCTCTGTTTCTGTCTCTGTTTCTCTCTTCTCCAGCTCAGCTTAAGAATCTTTCACCACTTTTATTTCCTCCTCCCAGATCTCCCCATATCTCACTTCCCCTCCTTCCATCCTCTTCCTCCATCTCTCTTTCTCTTTCTCTCCCCCCTTCCTTCCCTTCCTCCATGAAGTGTCCCTGTATCCCTCTGTTTCTCTGGGCATCTGTCTGGCCTTTCTGCTTCTCTTCTGATTCTCTTATTCTTTCTACCCAGGGTCGGTCTGTCTGTCTCTGTCTTTATCTCTCTCTCTCTCTCTCTCTCCCTCTCCCCCTCACTCTCTTGTTTCTCTGACTCTGAGTTTGCAGCTCTTCTGAGCACTCCCGCTGAATCCGTCTCTCTCCCACCCCACTCCCTCTCTGCTCCACCCTTGGGGAGCCCCCTGGAGCTGGTCTGCTCCTGCCCCCGCCGCCCCCTGACCTCTCTCCACCCCCACGTTCACCTCCCCAGGCGTGGTGTTCAGCAACGGGGAGCGCGCCAAGCAGCTCCGGCGCTTCGCCATCGCCACCCTGCGGGACTTCGGGGTGGGCAAGCGCGGCATCGAGGAGCGCATCCAGGAGGAGGCGGGCTTCCTCATCGAGGCCCTCCGGGGCACGCGCGGTAAGCAGGGCACCCCGAGGGGACGGTTGCAGGAGCAGGAAAACGCCCAGGGCGGGGACCCGCGCATTCTGCCTGATGATGAGGACTAGGTGGGGAAAGGCCCCCGCACTTCCAGCCCTGGAGTCTGGCGCTGGGAATTTGGCTCTACAGGGCCCTGCCTCCCGGAATTCTGACTCTCCTCAGACCTCTGAGTTGACTCTCCCTCCAACCCCCTTCTCCGGCCACACCCGCAGGCGCCAATATCGATCCCACCTTCTTCCTGAGCCGCACTGTCTCCAATGTCATCAGCTCCATTGTCTTTGGGGACCGCTTTGACTATGAGGACAAAGAGTTCCTGTCACTGCTGCGCATGATGCTGGGAAGTTTCCAGTTCACGGCAACCTCCGCAGGGCAGGTAACTGGCTGCAGCCCGGCCCCTGATGCCCCTACCACAACCTGTCAACTGCTCCCCTACCTGGAGACAGGTGCCCCAAACTCCCACCCCCCTCCAGACAGTGTCCCCTCAAAATCAGCCCCCAATATTGGACAACTGTACAGTTGCACCAGAAACCAGGACGGATGCGCAATACCCAGTCTCCAAGGACACCCGAATAGCTCAACAGATGCTCCCCAGAACAGAGCCTGCCAGCAGGATGCAAGCCCTCAGCTCAGCTCTCTTACCTGGGCACGTGTTCCCATCCCCAACTTACTGTAATTTCTGACAGGTACTCCCTACCCAGTTCTTCTTTTCACATTTACACAAATGTTCCAAATTAGCCCACTGGAATATCTGGCCAAGCACCCTCTACTTCACCCACTTTAAATACCTGAAAACATGGACAGCTGCCCTAACCAAGACCCGAAACACATAAATATCTAGACAGATTATTCCCCAGACACCCAAATAAGTGTTCTCCAACCCTTTGCAATCACACATCTTACAGAGGTGCTCCCAATGCATCCCACTTGGATACATAAACACCTGAACAGGTATCCCCTCCACTTTAACATCTTCACCAGCCGCGCTTTAATACATGAACACCTGAACAAAAGTCCCCAGTCTGGACCCAGTATCTGGATAGTTGTCCCCAACCAAGTCCACTTAAATGCCTAAATACCTAGACAGGTGACACTCCCCTCATACAAGCCACACCTGAATAGCTAAACACCTGGACAGGTGTCTTCCAACTCAACTTCACTTGAATATCTGAACACCTAGATGTGTGCTCCAATCCAGCCTCATTTAAATACCTGAAACCTGGATATATGCCTCAGTTCTTCTCACCGAAATTCCTAGACTGTGGCCCTGGCACCTAACCCATGTGAAAACTGAGATATAAGTTCCCATCCAACCCCACTGAAATACCTAAACACCTGGACAGATGCCTTTAACTCGGTTCCTTCCTTGCTATGAAACAAGTCCCATTCCCATCAGCTCCAGGCCCCTGACAACTGTCCTTCCCTTCCCATCCTCTCTCTGCAACCCCAGCTCTATGAGATGTTCTCTTCGGTGATGAAACACCTGCCAGGACCACAGCAACAGGCCTTTAAGGAGCTGCAAGGGCTGGAGGACTTCATAGCCAAGAAGGTGGAGCACAACAGGCGCACGCTGGATCCCAACTCCCCACGGGACTTCATCGACTCCTTTCTGATCCGCATGCAGGAGGTACACCCCAGCAGCCAGTGCGGGGAGGTGCAAAGCCAGGCAGAGGGAAATCAGGCTGGGAGTGGGGCAGGCAGATAACACAGGGCCATTCAAATAGCCCTTGTCATAATAATCCTCACAATTGGCCGGATGCGGTGGCTTACGCTTGTAATCCCAGCACTTTGGAAGGCCGAGGCAGGTGGATCACCTGAGGTCAGGAGTTGGACCAGCCTGGCCAACATGGTGAAACCCTGTTTCTACTAAAAATACAGAAATGACCTAGGCATGGTGGCATGCGCCTATAATCCCAGCTACTCAGGAGACTGAGACAGGAGAATTGCTTGAACGCGGGAGGCAGAGGTCGTATTGAGCGGAGATCATGCCACTGCCTGAGTGACAGAGCAAGACTCTGAAAAAAAAAAAAAAATCCTCATAATCCCAACTATATCAACCATTGCTGTTTCATCTACTGAGCCCTCACCCACAAGCAGGACTTGTGCACGTGAATTAGAATAGCAAGCACTTCTACAGCACTACCACGTGCCAGGCACTGTGTTAAGTGCTTTAAGATAGTCCCCACTGAACACTCACAACAGCTTTGAAGGAGGTTCAATCATGGCCCCGATTGTAACAGTGAGGAAACTGAGGCCCAGAGAGTTGAAGTGTCTTAACTGAGGTCACACAATAAGGAAACCTTGGTCCCCCAAGCTCAAACCCTGGTGTCTCTGAGCCTAAAGCTGGTGCTTTTAGCCACCAAGCTCTCTAACCATTCATGCCCGGGTTATCAGACACACCTCTGTGGACAGGTGACCTGGCTTTACATTGCAGGGTCCCCACATCCATCTGGACATCAGTTTCCCATGTGGGAAGGCTTTAGGGAGTCTGAAGCTCAGGGAGAAAGGATCAAGGGAGGCGATTCCTCCACAGTAAGTGTCAAGATTTTTAGGGAAGAAATAGGATGCTGTTGCTTAAAGTTCTATGCTTGTTTCTTAGAAAAACTCTTTTTTCGTGACTGTTCATCTTGCCGTCTCTGTACTACTTTCTCTTTGTCTCCCCTCATCATTATCTTTCTAAATATTCCTACTATTAAAAAAGTAACAGACTGGGCAAAATGACAAAACCCCATCTGTACCAAAACTACAAAAAAAAATGACTGGGCATAGTGGTACATGCCTGTGGTCCCAGCTACTCAGGAGGTTGAGGTGGGAGGATAGCTTGAGCCCAGGGTGGGCAGAGGCAGCAATGAGCCAAGATCACGGCACCGCACTCCAGCCAGGGTGACAGAATAAGACCGTGTCTCAAAAAAATTAATTACTTTTTAAAAAATTAACAAGTGAGCCTGCATGGTCATGTGCATTTGCAATTCTAGCTACTCAGGAGGCTGAGGCTGGAGGATTCCTTGAACCCAGTTCAAGTCCACCCTGTGCAACTTAGCAACGCCAAGTCTGTATAAGAAAAAAAGACTGACAGCTAAGTTGATAATTAAAGGACAGATGGTCAGCGAGGTAAAGAAGCTGAGAAGGAAGAGCATTTTGGGCAAAGCCAGCAGCCAGGGCAAGGGCTGGAACCTGGAGCGAGTCTGGCAGATCTAGGGTCCCTCTTTCCACCTTCATCTGGACCAAAGAGAGGAAGATTCAAAGGAGAAGCCCTAGAAGGGCCCCAAGAGCATGGGGAGTGAGGTTGGTCTAAAGCCCCCTCTCCCTGCAGGAGGAGAAGAACCCCAACACGGAGTTCCACTTGAAGAACCTGGTGCTGACCGCGCTGAACCTCTTCTTTGGAGGCACCGAGACCGTCAGCACCACCCTGCGCTACGGCTTCCTGCTGCTCATGAAGCACCCAGAGGTGGAGGGTAAGGCTGGAGGAGGAGGGAAGTGGAGGGTTCCAGACCCTCAAAACTCCCCTGACCCTGGTGCAATGTCCCCACCTGCCCCAGATCCCAGGACCCTGAGACGTGCCTTGCTGTCCAGAGACAGGGCAATATTCAGCTGACAGGAATCAGCTGAGTCTCACTGGCTATTAAAATACTGAAAATGTCTGCAGTGATCTGTCAGCCACTCCTCTCCCAAGCCCACTGAGTGCCACTATCTACTCCTCTGGATCATCTCCTAAGTTCCTCCCTGTGCCTCCCCTGTGATTTTGGCACAACCTGGTTAACAGGATCCTGCTCCAACAATGTGAATCACTGATGTCTGTTATGAGTGGTCTATCTCCATGTCATTGGTGGAGCCATGTCATCCACCCCGTTTTACCTATTTGGACTATAATCCCTTCTCTGAGACCCCTAAATACCTAAACACATTCCCCCATCTCCCCAAGCCAAGGTCCATGAGGAGATTGACAGAGTGATCGGCAAGAACCGGCAGCCCAAGTTTGAGGACTGGGCCAAGATGCCCTACACGGAGGCAGTGATCCACGAGATCCAAAGATTTGGAGACATGCTCCCCATGGGTGTGGCCCACAGGGTCATCAAGGACACCAAGTTTAGAGATTTCTTCCTCCCTAAGGTACTGTCCCCCACCCCACTCAGACTACAGGGATGTCCAGCCTCTCTCTGTTTCCCCAGCATCCCACCCCCATTAGAAGCTTTCTAGACCCTGTCCCACTCCCTCAATTAGTCAAAGAAGACTTCCCCCACCACCACATCCGTTCCACCTTCCCACTTAGAGACTCCTGAGTCCTGCATCTCCCCAGACTTTTTGTGTCAGGAGAATCAACCCCATGTTCCCAAACTTCCTGTCTTAAGAAATAGGAGCCCCTTTTCCATTAGGCTTTTTGCCTTAGGGACACAAGTCTCAGGTCCCCCAAGTACCCTGCCTAGCAGGACATGGACCCCATGTCTCCCAAACTTCCTGTTTCAGAGACATGAACTTTCTATCCCCCAAAACTCCTCTCTCAGAGGACCCCAACTCCTCCATGCCTGCCACTTCCCCTTACCTGGGGCACCCTGGTTCCCCCTCCAGCCCCTGTGTACTTTCACCAATCCCCCAACCTGCCTCATCACATACACCTTCCTCCTCCCTCCCAGGGCACCGAAGTGTTCCCTATGCTGGGCTCCGTGCTGAAAGACCCCAAGTTCTTCTCCAACCCCCAGGACTTCAACCCCCAGCACTTCCTGGATGAGAAGGGGCAGTTTAAGAAGAGTGACGCTTTTGTGCCCTTTTCCATCGGTAAGAGACCACTGTTTGCCGCCAGGCCACTGCTCATACCAGCAGGAGCCTCCCTCACCCAGCTCCCCTCTGTGCGGTGTAGCCTGGTATTTCTCCAGCTTGGAAGTTCCTGTTAGAATCTACCCTTAAGCCACCAACTGATACTACCTTAACCACCAAGCACCCACTACCTGCGCCCAGGTAAAAGGGAAGGAAGCATCTTCCCCCATAGATTTATTTGTCTAGGGTCACACAGCAGATTCTTCAGATCCCTGAAAAGGAGATAACGGCGCAGCACAGCAGTCATATTTGCAAGTGTGTCTGGCAGGTAGGGGCATCTAAACCTCCCATTGCTACACCTGGCATGGATCATCCATCTCTGATGAATGCGTGACATTATGCCTTTTTCAAAACCCATAGAAATGTACAACACAGAGCAAACCCTAATGTAAACTATGGACTTTGGACAGTAATAATATATCAATATTGGTTCACCATTGTTGTATCTCTTATAGAAAGAAACTGAGGCTCAGGGAGGATCAGAGTCTCCTCTGAAAGTCTCTCAGGCCATAGTATTCCACCTCTCCCCCCTGGGAGAGCTGCAGCTGGAGGTCGGTAGTGGGGCAAGGCTGCACTGAGAGTGGGCTTCACCTCCACCCCTCCGGCCTCTCCCCCTCAGGAAAGCGGAACTGTTTTGGAGAAGGCCTGGCCAGAATGGAGCTCTTTCTCTTCCTCACCACCATCATGCAGAACTTCCGCTTCAAGTCCCCCCAGTCGCCCAAGGACATCGACGTGTCCCCCAAACACGTGGGCTTTGCCACGATCCCACCAAACTACACCATGAGCTTCCTGCCCCGCTGAGGGAGGGCTGTGCTGGGGCAGGTCTGGTGGGCGGGGCCAGGGGCGGGGCTCACGGGAGGGGCGGGACTAAGAATGGTTGCAGGATAGGGGAAAGGAAGACTAGGTGGTTAGAGGGAAGAGAAGAAACAGAGGGGCTCAGTTCACCTTGATGATGTCCTTCAGAGCTGGGATGAGAGAAAGGGAAACCTTATAGTATGCTATGGAGAGTAGTAATAATAGCAGCTCTTATTTCCTGAACAATTACCTCCATGTCAGCTTTGTTCAAAAAGCGTTGCACGGGTGTGTTCACACCGTGTTACGCCACGCGCAC